GATAGCGAACAACTCGATTATTCCACACTTTCGTCTACGAGCAGCCGACTGCTATATAAGGGCGACACTCAGCTGCCAAGTTAAGTCAGTTACAAAGTAAACTCGTTGGCGACAACATCAGTATAGAGTCGTAAAGTAAACGCTTTGGAGATTACATTTAAGTAAAGTAAACTGAGAAAGTCTTCTACAAGTGATTGTAACTAGTAAAGTGCATTTTAATTGAATTGTGAATTACCGAGTAAATAATAGACATTAGATAAATTCTTTGTAACGAAAGAAACTGCAAATTAAGTTGGCGATTTTTTATTTAACAATCCAGAAATCGTACCCGAAGGATTCAGAAAATCATCGTGGTTGATTTAGCAAAATCGTAACATAATAAATATAACGAAATGCGCAAAAATGGAGAGGTTTCGAAGTTAGCTATGTTCACTGAGCAAAATTCGAACATTTATTTTTTTAAAACTAGATCAGCTGTTGCTGGTTGTTGATGGCAGTATTCATAGACTGTTTGCTGGCATAACTCGCCAGCAGCACCCATACAACGATTTTTCAGTTAAAAGGCCAAAAATCGCTCAAAAAATGGGTAACCGAAGGTCAACGAAATCCGCGGACTAGCTCTTATATCAGCCAAGTGAAATACTATATACATTTGATATGGCCATGAAGTGTATAAAGACTGTTGTATGGTCGTCGACAGCCCTCTTTTCTTTTTCTGTTTTTTTTTTTTTGGGTTTTTTATTTACTTAAAAGTCAACAACTAAAAAATGTCGCTTTGTCTTCTTCGAACTATTTAACATTTGCCTGCAAAGTTTACAATTATGTTGCTGATATCATCCTCTTCGACCATACATACATACATACATAACTCTACTACTACCTTAACACTTTTATTAGCTTTTAACATCGTATAAATCAAGCTTTCAACTTGCCATAAATTTCCAATAAATAAACGATGCAACTTATTGCTTTCGAAACTAACTCTATCGAAAATAATTTCCGTAACAATTTGTGAATTTGCCGAATTATGTGCAGAACTTAGCAACAAACTTAAGTGGAGGTAAGCATGCGCCTCCATGGTACAACTTCCATGCTCATTGTGGCGCGGCAAACAAAGCTTGTGGTTGTGTCTTAAGTTGGCCCATGATTTTCATACGCCAAAAATTGGCAAACTGATAAATGAAGCATATAAATGTGAAGTATTTTGGTAGGTACCGAAAAGCTGAGGTAAAAAATAACAAAAAAATGCCGAAAAAAATTTGCAAAAGAAATAAAAAAAATATTCAAAAATAATTAGAAAATATTCAAAAACAAATAGAAAATATTCAAAATTAAATAGAAAATATTCAAAAATAAATAGAAAATATTCAAAATTAAATAGAAATTATTTTTAAACATCTTTGTGAAGGAAAAATTTTTTGCAAATCCAAAAACCACCCACCCTATGTCCTGCTCAAACCAAAGCAATATTGAGTGCAAGCAAAAAGCGTCGCCCAGCCAAGTGCTCATAGCTGATTGTTCGTTGTTCATTGCCCGTTCATGTTTGGTATTTTTTGGTGAAAGTGCTGGTTGATGGCTTTGGTAACACCACAAGCACCGCAACAAAGTCACAGCGTTACCGCGCATCACATCAACAACAACAACAACAACGCTTACACAGTTACACAGAGCCATAATCCTTGCGCTACATGCCAACCACCCACCTACACTTTGCCGTTGCCCGTCCACTGTGTGCGCTACATTTATTGCAGCATTTTGTTCGTGCGGTGTCGCAGGTGGCAAAGTTTTGTCAACTGCACTCCCTAACCCGACTGCTTACTCCTCCGTAGCCATTTACACTGCATCGGTGTATTCTTTTTCGTCGCGGTTGCTCTTCCATGTCCACATCCTTTTGCCTGACACGCGTAACATCTGCTTTTTGTGCAGTGCAGCAGCAGCAGCAGCAGTCCCTCCGGTGTTTCTCTGCTCTTGTGGTGGGGTGTAGATACTTCTGGCGAATTTTATGCAATCGATTTCGTTGCTCGTTTGGTTGTTGGTGTAATTCTCAATCGTCTATCAAAACGTTTTCGGGCGGGCATTATTGTACGGCGACCGCATGTCCGCATGTTTTACTCACTCACTCACTCACTCGCTCACTCATTCACTTACTTGTGTTGTTGTTGTTTTGCTTGTGTGCGCGCTTACATTCATAGAAAGGATAATAGTTTTTGGTTTTGAATTTTATGGATTTGGATTTGAAAGTTGATTGTTACATGCACAGTAGAGCTTTGTTTGTCTCGTTTGAATGCTTTTGCTGTCGGATTTGCGTGCACTTTTCGTACATAAATACCTATATATGTACATATGTATTGGACTTTTTGGTTTTCTAACAAAACATATCTACCTGCGGTTAGCCGAAGTAAAAGTATTACTCGGAGTTTGGTACCTTTTGCATGTTAAATAAAGTTTTTGGCGAAAAGGTAAAGCAACTCAAAAGGAGCTTTCATGTCCGTGAAAACATTTCATTAGAGCAGGTTAAACTGGTTGATTCAACGAGTCTCCCTGTACTGCTACACTCTTTTGGTATCTCAGAGGTTTAAAGTATACTGTTGTTCTCTTCGAAGTAGTCGCTTTGGCCCTTTGTTCACTGCTGATTGAAGGTTCTGCTGTTCTTATGCGCCAAAGTAAGCACAGCTTTCTGTCTGTCGATTGTGAGATACTCGCCGTTTATATACTTTACTGTCTCCACAGACTGCTAACATTTTCTGCAATCTCTACCACACTCAGATTAAAGGCATGCGATGCCAAAAGGCAGATGAGCACGTCTCATTAACAACCTGCAGTGTGACCTCTTTTGGGCTAGCAAAATTTTTTTTACTTGGAGAAATCTACAGCCTTTTATTCATTCCGAAAATCTATACGCCCGACGAAGTAAGAGTACTTCTTAGGCTTACTTCAATTTCATAATTACATTCACTGCCAAAAAGAACATCCCACTTTACTTGTCCATCAACTATCTCATTGTCTTGTTTGCCCAGAGGTTCTGGCACCCCTTAAATATATTTAAATCCATCTTTTCTCGGACAGTCCTTTTACCTCCGCTTTACATAGTGCAATCACAGCCAAGTTAGTGCTTTATGAAAGTAAGACCTTAGCTGGAGCTTGGCTAATTACGTAAAAGTGTATTCTCGTTCTTTAAAGGTCTGCAAGCTGCGGTAGACATCCCGTCATTTTTATTGTAAATATTTTAGACTGAATGAACTTCTTATACGCGGTTGGGCGCAATAAATTACAGCCATACTCTGACGCTCTTTTTGCAACCATCTGGAAAAAAATGCAGAATATTGTCTGCAAACCTCAGAATATTGTAATACATTATCCTTAAGTGTATGAAAATACACACACGGTCAGTTACTGGAGCGATGTTTTTCTACTTTATTTTATTTTATTTTATTTTATTTTATTTTATTTTATTTTATTTTATTTTATTTTATTTTATTTTATTTTATTTTATTTTATTTTATTTTATTTTATTTTATTTTATTTTATTTTATTTTATTTTATTTTATTTCATTTAAATTATTTAATTATTTAATTTAATTAATTTAAATTAGCTTATTGGATACTATTTTCTAAATTAAATTTTATATTCTAATTTATATTGCCCTAACTTATATATTCTTTTTTTGGTTTTTAATGTAGGTAATATTATTTTTTTTATTTTAATTCTATTTTTTTTTCAGGTTATTTAGTTTTTACTTAAATTAATTTAATATATTGTGTTTTATTTGATATTATTTTCATTTAATTTTATTTAATCGCGTTATATTTAAATTTATATTATTATTTTATTTTATTATTTTTTAATTTAAATTCATCTCATTTCCTTGAAATTTAATTTCATTTTAAAATATGTAATTTATTTTACCCTTTATTTTAATTTTATTTCGCTCTTAATTTATTTTTAATATATTTAATGTAATATAGTTAACTTTATTTTACCTTAAATTATATTGTTTTATTTTATATTTTTCTTTATATTAGTTTATTAATATTTCATTGTTTTATTTTGTTTTAATTTAAAACCATCTTCTTTAATTTTATTTTAATTTTATTTCGTTCTTTTAATATATTTCAATAAAATTAATGTAATTTACTTTAGGTTATCTTTCTGATATTATTTAACTTTTTTTATTTTATGACTTATATTTTTTTTTTATTTTACATTAATTTAATTTGTTTGATTTTATTTTATTTTGTTTGATATTTTATATCATCTAATTTTATATAATTTAATATTTTTTTATTTTATAATAATATTTTTCATTTCATTTAATTTAAATTATTTGATATTGTATTTTTTTGTTTTAAATTTTTAAATTTATTTTGTTTTATTTTATTTATTTAATATTATATTATATTATTTAATTTGTTTATTTTAATTTATTTAATATTTTTATTTAATTTTTTTTTGCTCCTGCGACCCACAATAGTACAACCAGTAATTTAAAACTGTCATTTAAGGTTTTTGTCTTAGGTTTGATAGTTTATAAAACTCAAATTATACAGTGCCTTTGAAACTATAGTTAGTATGAGGATTCAAAGGAAAAATGTGGTCAAACAAGTTTTGTTAGTATTGTTAGTATGTATTATTTGTATCATCAAATTGAATTTAAGCTTAATAGAAGTTAACATGCTAACGCACATATACAAATACACGTTTACATTGTCTGCCAATTAAATGGCACGATAACAACAACTATACTTTTATATATGTATGTATATATAATTTAAAAGTGGTTGCTACTAACAAGTTTAGACGGTTAAACAGCTAAACGGCGGTTAAACAGTTGCCACAACGCTAAGTTAACACACAGACATTTGTAGGTATATGTATTGTATATAGACGCTACTGCTGCCTCGAAGGTGGGTGTTGATGGTATGACACATTATGTGGACGATCGGCCCGTGCTGTCTGCTTGTCGCAGCTATTTTTGCGATGATTTATAGAAAACTGTAAGACAGTCGTCGCTGATTTAGCCAACAGTTCGGACGCGGTGCGTGAAAAGTCAAAAGAAAATTCGTATGTGGCTGGCAGATGTTGAGTGTAAAACATAAATAGATATATACACATAAGTATGTAAATGTTGTCGAAGCTCATAGTGGTCGGAGAAAAAAAATTATTAATTAATGAAATTGGCAAAAGAAATGTGGAGCAGCTCTTCCTACCTGTGAAAATCATAACTGAAATTAGTTCAAAGTCAATTTATGATTACTCTGCGTATGTGTGTGTGTGTGTGTGCATTGGTTCAGCAACAGAAAATTTGTGTGTGTAGCAGCGAAACCTGATTAATGATGAATTGCTAGTGAAAAGTGGATAAATGCATATATATAAATATATATATATGTAATGCCTTTCGCAAAAAAATTATGATTCTAAAGCAAAATTAATTATTTTAATTAAAAATAAAAGTGCTGAAAGTGTATTTATTACAAAAACACATAAAATATATAGCATATATGTAATTAAGCATATAAGCATACATAATTATGCATTTAAGTACATATGTAATTCCTGCAAATAACTTTGAAAAAAAATATATTTGTATTTTGTTAATAAATCATCCAAATCTATTAAATTTATAAATCTTTGCGTATAACATTAGCCAGATGTTCCGTCTTATTTCACATACATATACATACATACATATGTATGTACATATTATACATATATGTATGTATATACTTATATTGTGCTCATAAAAATGTTAAATTGCAAATATATACGGCTTTTCCATATAAATATTTTTATAAAAAAAACTGTTTTTGCAAGATTGTCAAACATTTACAAATTTATGAGCGTACATACATATGTATTTATGTCTGTTATATACTGTCTGCAGGTAAAAATATTAGTTACTTACTAGAATTCAATTGGTCTGCGTTTTTGCACCAACTAGTCTCCTCTCAGATTCTACTTGCTAAAAACCGATTTGTGTAAACTAGTTAAAATACCAGTTCTTATCACACCAGTTTAGGACTAGTTTGTTTTATATCGGTTAAGAACTAGTTGGTATTATGCCAGTTTGAAATTAGTTTGTTTTATAATATTTGAGAACTAGTTCGCGCTATACCAGTTGAGAACTAGTTCGTAATATTCCAATTGAGGACTACTTTGTGTTATACCAGATGAGAAAAAATTTATCACTTTGTATTTTGGAAATTATAACATATTTTTGCAAATAATTTACATGACACCCATTGGTTGTGATATAAAACTCTACCGTACTTTGGGCACAATTCGAGCTAACACGAAATCACCCCCACCCGTACGTGAAGAGGTTGGAGTTATCTCCATATGCTGCTGTTCCCCACAGCAAATTATTAAAGAGAACACCATATGTATATCGATAGTCGACATGATTCCCATACCCGCCAAGTTTTTAATGCCCGACTATATTGGACATTTGAACAGCACAGGCACCCAATCATCGGGCTCAATTAGAAGAAACCCCAAGCTGATAGGAATTAGGAAGTCCCTCTGTTGTGATCTGTCGTGGCTTAAGTGTTCAAATGCTTAAAGGAAGTGAGTTGTCGGTTAATCTATTTATAATACTCGTCAGAAAAACACAGACCGGTTCCAAGTCCAGATAGGCGTTGGAACTCTTCTACCAAGAGAATTAAAAGATAGATTAACTAGCAAGTTTCATAAATAAGCAACCAAGAGGAGAATATGGATAAGTCTGTGTTTATAAGTGGTTGACACTTGGACAGAAGTTAGCTTAAGGAGAGCTAGAATAATGCTAAGAAACCGAAAGCCTTTGTGTGTATTGCAGTAGATCTCCAAGGTAGCTCAAGTCCTCATCCATCTGTTTATTCAAACTGATTGGAGGCCCTTACCATGCTCAGCTTTCATCGTCCATCCAGACCACCGAGGATCTATCATTTTGTCCTTCGCACCAATGTGGCAATTTTTGGGATCAATAATGTCAATATAATCGGCAGTTTTGCACTCTTATACAGCATTGTAGCTTCTCTGCTCAGTTCTGTGCCACCATTATTTACTCCAGCATTGAAATAAAAGATTCACACGATAAATAACCAACTTCTCTGAACCCTACTTTAGTATCGGGAAGATTTTTTCGTATTCTGGCGAACCTTTTAGGTTTCCAAACCATACTAAAATATTTATAGCATACTTTTAGGCTAAATACCGGATTTGTCTTTTCATTCAGATTTTATTATAAAATCTTTTCAGCAAAGATATTTAAATGTGCATATGTATGTATGTATAATAGTTGTTTCATTTTAAAACTAAAAATCTTTATAAATATTGCATTAATTTCTGCCAAACTCTTAAAAGTTACATTTAACGACCTAAATAGAAATTTTAAAATAAACGACGAAAGTGAAAAGCAAAACAAAAAACTGAAACAACTCACTTCAATTACACTCAACTAAAATTCAAAACACTCAATTGGTTAATAAAAATACAAACAAACATCAACCACCAACGAAAATGAGTCAATCATGCCTACCAGTCAATGCCAAAATGTCGAAGGCAAAGAAAGTGTTGGATGAAGCGCGTGAAACGCAAAATCGTGAACTCGATTTGGTGGACAAGGGCATTAGTTCCTTTGAGGAGTTACCGGGATTGTGTAAGTGTAAACAAAAGAAGTGTATAATTGTTGTAAATAAACCGCTTATAAGGAAGGGAAATTAATAAAATAATAGTACGCTAATGAACAGTGGCTCTCAAAGTGTGCTACCCACTCAAAAATGCTATGCGATTTTAGTAGCAGCAAAAATATTGTTGCTAAAATGTGTTATTAATAAAATTAAATGCAAATCTTTTATAAAGAGTGCTTTCTTTATGTTGATAATATAAAATTTGTGATAAACTTTCATATAAATTATTTTATGCTCTTGAAACTGAAGTCACTGCCGAATGCTTATGAGATCATCAGCGCAGCTGTGCTATTTGTTAGGCGTTTCCGTCGCTTATAATGATAAATTTAATTCCTCTAATATTGCTCGTTCTCAATAGATTTCAGAAAAATTGTGAAATATTGGATATTGAGTGCCAAAAAATTAATATAAACATTTAAGCACATCATACAAGAATAATATAATGAAAATATGTTTTTCTATAGATTACTATTTATGTATACATGTCAAATGTGTCTAGATTAAGGGGTTTTGACTTGTTGCATTTATAACTCACGCAGGGTTGATATTTTTAGACATTGAAGCAAAAGAAGCGGTTATGTCAAAAATTGCCAATGTGAAGAAGAAAAATGCTATTGAAAATTGTTAAATTAAAAAAAAATATTGAAATATTGAAACCAAAACTCAAAATTTCCGGTGTATTTAAAATCAATTTTACTTAAAAATTAAGCGGACCACAAAAAATGAAGATCATTAGAAATGTTTTATATTTTTTTACTTTCAAGTTAATCAGAAAAAAAAGAAAATAATTGGTCGAGAGGTATCTTAATAACGATGAACTTCGTCTCGTTCCAATTGGACGCAATGATATGAACTCCATTTCTTTAAGTGTAAACAAAAGCATAGAAGTTTGTATTCCGGCTTAAAAACAGCCAATAAATTATGCTGTAGTGGGTTCAACTCCCCGAAATGCATATACGGTTGTAATTAGTTCCCCATGAATCCATGACACAAACCACCTCTTTGTATGCCCATTAAAACCGAGTCACCTGTAAATTTCCCGTTTGTTGACTTCAAGAACGTGGTCTGGCTTTGCCTGCTTTTAGCAATGTCGAGCTAGAAAGACAATCCTTGTGGTCGGCTTTAAAACGGTCATTGCATAAATCAAATTTGAGCAATATGGACATATCTCCATATATTTTCTTATTTATGATCGTATTAGTGGTAGGCATTACTCAAACGTATAACCCTTTGTTAAAGCCAACAGAAGACTAATCCTATTTAAAAATTAACAAAAACTGATCATATTAGTTGGTTTACAAGCAAACATATTTTCTAAAAGTCTGAGTTGATAATTGCTTTGAATATATGTATGTACCGTAATGCATCAACGGCTTACAAACGTCATGCGCAATATACGACTATGCGAAATCAATGTAATAATACACAAAATTCGTATTAATCCAGAATATCGTCTACAATATACTAATAAAATGCAAGAGGCATATATATATAAAATATATATGTACGATCTATATCGAAATCCGGCAATTTTTATACCTTTTATGAACATGAAAGCGTAAGACTTGGTGTTCTACACTTGTCAATTCAAATAAATATAGATATTGACAGTCATGGAAATCAAAAGACTAATCATAAATGCTTTTTTCCTTTCGAATAAATCGTTTCATTGTCCAATTTACCGGAAAAGTGTAATTTATATTTCAAATATTTCAAATGAGCTAATTATTTTTAGTTTATTATCTTTATTTCAAGCTCTTTGGGTGATTAAAAACATTATACCTTTTTCAAACGCAAAACTGTTTTATTTTGAGCATAAAACTCAATTCAATAGTTTCAATCATAATAAATATCAATTTTGTATTCCTACCAAATTAATTTCAAGGTTTAAAAATGTTTTCACGGCAACACTGAATGCATTAAATCCACTCAGCAAACACATGTCTACCTTATTATTGTTAAGAAAATATGTACCTAGCTACAATATATGTACATACATACGAGTATGAAGCTACTAAATGAATTGAGAAATTTTGTGTACTCGTATATAAATACATATGTACATATGTATGTACCTCAGTAACACCAATGAGAATGTTTTCTGTACACACATAAATAAAAGATTAAAATATCAACTGAGTGTAATTGGTAGAAGCATATTGCTCTCTGTTGACATTGGTTGAGTAACTATTTGCTGTGTGTAAGAATGCAGTTTGAGAGCCAATACATTCCGCCTTGGTGAGGAGCTGTGTTATAATATATTCGTGTTTTACTGATAGCTGTTGTATTCGTTTCTCAGACACAGGCAACATTTTCCACGCTTATCAGAGATTAAATGAGAGAATATAAAATTTAAATTTTGAATATAAATTGCAAAAAAAGAAAATGCACAAGTACAGCGTGAAATTTTAGCTATATTTAAACGTTGATCACATTCAGAAATTACTTCAAATATGGAGTAATATTAGCCAGAAAATATTTTATAAAGCCAAAAACAAAAAAATATACATATAATGATTTTTAGTTGGTTCAGAGTATACTTTTTATAATAAATCGCACTTAAATTTGCAATTAAAATTACAATTGGCATATTTCTGACGAATTTTTTAATGGACTTTTTCTGAAAATTTCCTAAATAAACTCCCTTTTCCCCCAGCTGAATGTGCCACCGTTCCCAATATATCTAAATTGAATGTCCCACATGCCTTGAGAGTCGTCGTTGTTGCAGCGACATGTTCGACTCCTCCTTAGAGCAGGCAAAGTTAGTATATATTGGATGAATGCATAAGTTCGTGCCCGATTCCGCTGGATACCGTTCGAACGAGAAGAAATTTTATAAAGTTGCTAACAGACTCTCCGTGAATTGCGTCGGTGGCCAGATGAAAGTCCTTCCATCCATCAGTTCTCCTCTGTCCTGCTGAATGGAGCTTTTTAGGTAAACTACTTCCTTTCAGAAGTGTCTAGATGGGGTTTGGACTCGTAGTGGATGTTTGTAATGAGAACAGTATGCTAGCCGATATTGATACCACAACATAATTTATGCGGGAAGCATAGATGCTTGGCGGTCTAAGTAGTTCTATCAGTTGGTTTCAAGTTACTATTCTCAGAGTGAGAGGCTTGTAGCTGCGTCATCTGTGTTTAGCTAATCCCCATTGTTTAACTCGGTGGAACATAATTAGCACTGGCTAACCGGCTGATTGGTTTGTAAGGTGTGGCTTTACTATGCTGGGACTAGTATGCGGAATACAGGCTGTCGAACGTGACTGGCAATGAATTGGGGTGGTTTTTTTTCTGAATTTAAACGTCGTCGTCGAAGATCGCAAGGTAGTAGTAATATTCGTGCAGTGAAGAAGTGGCAAAAGTTGACGAGATAGTAGTTTATGTATATTCAAGCAAAACTTATCAATGTCCTAAACTGATGCCAATATCGGGCGGTCATCAGCATATATCTAATTGGCGCCTTTTAACCGCTGAAGCGAGTTACAGTCGAGCTCCTCCTTCAATTTGTGGTTTTCCATCTTTATGTCTTTCCAACAAATGGAGGGACCTATAGTTTATATTAAGCCGCCTCCGAGCGGCTGAGGGTCTTTTATTTCATGTCGGAAATACACTCGGAGGGGTGGACATTCACGGACGACCGCAATTAGAAAATTTAAACTAATTTTCTATAACTTTTGGATGTTGGTCGCACCAGACTTCAAACCCTTGCCTTTCTAATGGCAATGTGCAATGCTAACCACTCGACTATCGTAGCCAGGGAAACGTAGAGGGCGCTTAGGACGCAACACTGCGGAAATTTGTAGATTTATTTTTCGAAGTTTTAAGATCGAGCTTCGGAATCCCACTCAAAACAGCCCTGCCTCTTCAACTTCGGCGGTTGACCTATTGACCTAACGGTGTTAGATCGCCGGTGGTAGATCGTTCCACGCACCGGTCTTGACGTTGATTTTATCTTACCAAGGACTGTCATCCTTTCGGCGGTCCAACCCCGTTTAGGTCAACAGGAAACATTAGTCTACCCCCCTCTTTATCGAATAAACCTCGTTTAAACAATAGGTAGATAAAATTTATGTCCCGAAATTCTTCTAGAGATAAGGTTGTAAAGAAATCCATTTGGTTCCTTTTATAATTTTTGATTTTATTAATTATTTTTATTTTATTGCTAATTTATTATCTAATTAATTTTAATCCTCTTAACTTTGGCTTTAAATATATATAAAATTTCGTTATTTTTTTTCTATCCCCCCACCAGTCAACATGTCCTACATAACAAGACTCACGCTGAGCCACAACAAGATCACCATGATCAGTCCGGGCATTGCCAATCTGCTCAACTTGGAAATATTGAATTTATCCAATAACGGTTTACGTGAGCTGCCCGTTTCACTATCGTCAATGCCAAAATTGCGTATACTCAATGTCTCACTGAATCGACTGGACAGTCTACCGCGCGGCTTTGGCGCATTCCCTGTGTTGGAGGTGTTGGATCTCTCCTACAACAATTTGAATGAAAATGTTTTGCCTGGAAATTTCTTCATGATCGAAACACTGCGTGCCCTCTACTTGGGTGACAACGATTTCGAGCATATACCCAAGGAGTTGGGTAATTTGAAGAATTTGCAAATACTTGGCTTGCGTGACAACGATCTGCTCGATTTGCCACGTGAAATTGGCGATTTGACGCGCCTACGTGAATTGCATATACAAAACAATCGCCTGCAAGTGCTGCCGCCCGAGGTGGGCTACCTCGATTTGCTGGGCAGCAAGTCGGTGATGAAGATGGAGGAGAATCCATGGGTGGTGCCCATACAGGAGCAGTATTTGTTGGGCATAAGTCATGTCATCGAGTATATCAAAACGGAAACGTACAAAATGTGAGTGGAATTTTTTGAAGTGTTTGAAATTATTGCAATTTCCTTTTGTTGTATTTTTACAGTCTCTACAATCGGCTTATAAAAAGCGATCGTGGACCGCCACCACCAAAGGCTGATAAGAGCAAGAAAGCCTCGCGTGTGCGCGCCTAAGCTGAAGCTCAAGCCAAATGCCGTTGTCATGAGTCAAGTTCGAGTTCGTCAGACCACAGAACGTAGTGCCTTTATGTGGAAAATGGAATGATTTAAATAAATGTTTTTCGATTGTATTAACAATATATGTTTTGTAATAATATATATATGCATACATACGTATATGCTTTTGTACTAATATTTTTAAGTAAATGTTAAATTATTTTAAAAACTCTAATCTTTTCTTTTTTCCCCATTTTTTTCGATTTTCGAACGAATTTCTCCGCCAGTTAATGGTCTGCGTCTTGATGCTTTTCCCCCAAGTGGAGGGACCTACAGTTTATACTAAGCCGCCTCCGAATGGCTGATGGTTTTTTTATGAGAAGCTTTGCTTTTCATGTCAGTAATACACTCGGAGTGGTTGACATTCCCTGCCGAGGGACGATCGCAATTAGATACAATAAATTAATTTTCCACAACTTTGGATGTTGATTGGACAAGAACTCGAACCCTTACTAGCCGTGCCAGGAAAAGAACATCCGTCGTTATTTATTTTCATCGTTCTCGACGCTGATTGAAGCCACCAGATGAAGCTAGCTCTTTTCTTCATCCAATCTCTCTCAACGGAGTGAAGGTATTCCTCTTCCTTTGCTTCCACCGGCGAATACAACTTTCAGAGCTGAAGTGCTTTCGGGCGCCCGGTAGACGTAACTTAGCCTACGTAGTCACTGTTGTTGATGTAGCGGTTATTCCAACCCCGTTTAGGGACAGGCTACTTAGTCAAAGTCACCAAAGTTATCTAATGGGATGTAGCGCGCTGTTTCGATGGGCTTGGACCAGAGTTAGAGGGTGGTTTTAAGGGGCATGTAAAGTGGTGGTTAGTGTCGTGCGAAGACTCTCCACAGGCAGGAAATATGTTGAGTATGTCGGGGTCGAGTCTGGACAAATATGAGTTTAGCCGGCTACAATATCCAGAACTAAGTTGCATCAGTATATCTCGTGACAGCTCGAGCTCTTTGTCTGTTATGGGTAGAGATTTGACTCCGAAGACGCCATTCACAGGAAGGGAGTTCTTGAAGGTGTTGCCTGATTCCCGGTGATTGGGGCTTAGTGCCGTCTGTACGCCGTTCTGTCCAACTGTTTTTGCACATATTGTTGGATTACGTCCTTTAGTACTCCCTTTCTGATGTGCCTGCGTGAAGGTTCGGCCTCTATTAGATACCTGTCGTGCTCCTAAGGTTTGGGCATGCCTGTGGCTTCTTCAACTGCGATTTTTAGGGAAAGCCTCCCAAACGCAGATCAACTCATTATAAGGTGCTCAGATGATCAATACTCTTCCTCCAAACACAAGAGCAACAGCGGCCAAGCCATTCCAACGAAATCTCAAGCCCTAGTCGGCGAAACGGTGCATTCAATTCATATTTTTTTACATGACTCATAGAAAAGACCTAAGCTGCCCAGTGAAAATGAGACTCTAACAAATGGAGAACCCGTTTCCGCAATTGATGACGATGCAACAGATGTTCCATTGCCGGTGCATGAAGAAGTTCGAACAGAAATCGCCCGGTTGACAAATAACAAAGCCGATGGATTGGTCGAGCTATTTAAATACGGCGGTGAGGAAGTAATGAAGGGTATGCATCAGCTACTTTGCAAAATATGGTCGGATGAAAGCATGTCCGACGATTAAGTGTGCTCTGCGCTATTCACAAAAAGTGCGATCACACAGTCGGCGCCAATTAACTTGGTTTAAGCCTTCTCAATTTCGCATATAAAGTACTTTTCTGGTAAATCAACCATTGACCACAATGGTGGCGTAAACTGACGTTAAGCAACACCAAATGCTACATCAAGATCCGAACCGTTCGATAACAAACGAGGTTTCAGACAGGGTGATTCCTTCTATAATTTGATGCTGGAGAAAATAATACGAACTGCAGAGCTATAAAAAGAAGTTATAATCTTCATTAAGAGTGTACAGCTTCTGGCGTATGCCGATGATTTTGAAATTATTGTCCTCAATAACCGCCGCTTGAGTTCTGCTTTCTCCAGATTGGATAAGAAAGCGAAGGATATGGGTCTGGTAATGAATGAGGGCCACACGAAATATCTTCCAACATCAAACAAACAGTCATAGCACCTGCTACTCGGACTCCACGTCACTTCGCAGTAACAACTTGGAAGTCGTACATAACTTCGTCTATCACTGGAACCAGTATTACCACCAACAATATGGTCAGCCTTGACAACTAGCCAACAGGTGCCACCTTGAATTTAATAGGCAAGTAAAGACCTTTCTCGACACCGAACTCTACAATCATGTACTCCATAGGGATAAGAATAATTCAGATTTGAAAGTTTGCGGTGCAGTACCAGCCGGCGGAAGCAGAGGAAGAAGATCTCCACTCCGTTGGAAAACCCTAGGTCTTCACTGCTCTTGATATCTCCAAACAGCGAAAAGAAGGAATGACTGCCGCAATGTTGTTAATTTGGTTATTATCACGCATGCGGTATCAGTAAAGTAGAAGAAGATTTAAAGGGTACTTCAAAAAATTGAGGTTATGTTGAAATATTTTTTTTTAATTTTATTACTTAGACATACGACTATTGTGGCAAAATAACGAAACAAAAAAGCGCAGCTGTCACGTCTACCATTTGTCTTTGTTGTATAACAAAAAACTATTTAAATCACATAAACAAACTAAACCTTTCGCTCATTACAAAAAAAAAAAAAAACAAAAGAAATATATCAAAAAATAATATCATGGCTGCAAAAACCATTATGAAACTATTTTTTTAAATATTTTTTTTAGTTTTAGTTTCAATTTTAAATGAGATAATGAGTTTCGTTAATTTTTAATTATTATTTTTTTTTTAATAAAAATTCATTTACTTTCATTTAAAATTTGCTTACATGAAAGGTTTTGCTTTTTTGTGTTTGGTTTTCACTAATACAAAAATCAAATACACCAATATTGGGTTATTTTAAAAAAGAAATTATAGAATTAAATCGATTTAAGAAAAAAAAAATTTTATTAAATTATTTTAAATATATTTTACTTAAAATATTTATTATTACCCAAAATAATCCATTCAAATATATACATTGAAAAATTCTTCATTTATATTTATATTTTTTTTTTTCAATATTTATTTTTATAAAATAGTAGTTTTTATTGTTATCCATTTCATCATTACGACAAGTTGCATTTACATATTTTTTTAATAATAATTAATTTTGTTTTTCTCGGATTTTGTATGATTTCTATGCAATTTGTTTATTTTGTAATTTTCCAATTAATAGCATAAACAAATTGTTTTATAACTTTTCTTTTTTGTTGTTTTACATATTAAATACTACATTTACATTAAATTAATAGTATAATTCATTTTGTTGTTTTTATTTGAGAAAAGAATAGAAAAATGTATTATATATCATATATTTATTTAAATGTGCTTTTTTTGTTTGATTTTATATATATATATATATTTTTTAATTTTCGTTTTATTTTTTTTATCAATTCTAACACATTTACACATATTTTTTTTGTATTTTTTTATTTTATTTTATTAATTAATTATTTTATTTGTATTTATGTACGAGTATGTTAGTACGTAGGTATGCTTGTATGAATGTATCGCTCTGTTCTGTTGTAGTACCGTTAAATATAGAAGTTTTAACTTTTGCTTTAACGGTTTTACTTTCAAGTGCTTTTTTCACATTTTTTAACTATTTTATTTATTTCTTTTTTTTTTTTTTTTGTAAGACGCTCTTAAAGACTAATTTTACAACTTTTATGCTGTAATATTTATATTTATACCTATACATATGCAACTCTGTTGAAGTGTTGATTTTTATTGTATTTTGTTTTAAACTTACTATTTAATTAAAGTACACTATTTACAGTTTGTTTTTTGGGAAAGAAAAATAGCTTTGTTTTGTTTGCATTTTACTTTGTTACGGTTTGATTTTCACACTTATCAATATATGTACGTGTGTATATGTATGTTTATAACACTCCACGTCTATTAATTTCTATTTAATTTAAATCAATTTTTAACACATTTTGTATTTGTTAATTGCCTGCGGTGCAAATTTTATCATATTTATTTTACACATTTTTCTTTGAGCAGTACGGCAGTTATATATTTGATTAAATTTGTGGATTTAAATAGAAATTCCAAGGAAATAAATTTAATGCAGAAAATAAAAATTTAATTAAAAAAATTATCTTTAAGAGTATTTAAAAAAAAATTTGAATAAAAAAAAAATATTTTAACTGTATTAAAAAAAAATAAATAAAAAAAAAATCCAGTAAATAACTAAATACATACATGTACGAGGTGCGTCTGATATTTTCGGAGCCTAAGGTAGTTAGAGATGACACCTTTATCTCCTTACCGATAATACCAATTGCGGCAGTCATTACTAGTATAATAAGACAATTTGTTTTGTATTAGTTATATTCATATTTCGTTCCAAGAACGAGCAACAATGATGATTTTTCGTTTAAAACGCTCATCTTCAGCGGTCACGAGGTAACGTTGCCTCTTCCACATTCCACAATTTTGCGGTTAACTCATTTCTGTTAGGATTTGATTGGCGAGGTACTAGAATCGTTGCATAAGCCGACTCCTAAAGGGGTAAGTTTCCACAAACTCTATGTGGCTATTTGAACACTAGTCTCTTCGAGCTCGTATCTCTTTATTAAGGGTTATAGATAACCGACAAGCCGACAATAAAGCTAACCATTCTACATGGTATCGACCTGAGCTTAGGAATCAATGCAAAATTTCAGATTTTGCGTTAAACAGCGTGACAAATTTTTTGATCTCTTAAGTAAAACTCAAAGCTCAGCGTCGATTAGCATATGTAGAGCGCTCAAGGCCGCGCCACATGAGGTGTTAAAAGTCTTGCTCAATATTTTACCACTGTTTATATATTTTATTTTATTACAATTTATTTTTATTTATTTTATTTTTTTAATTAATTTATTTTATTTATTTCCATTTATTTTTTTATTATATTTTATCGTATTTTTTATTTAATTTGACATTAATTTTTTTTATTCTATTTTATTTAAATTTTGTTTGTTTTATTTAATTTAATTTTTATATTTACTTCATTTTATTTAATTAAATGTTTTTATTTTATTATATATTTAATTTTTTTTTTCATTTTATTTTATATATTTTTTAATAATATTCTATTTAATTTTTTGTTTT